ACCAGACAAAATCATCTCAATTTCTGTAACATGTCTTCCATTCTATAAAATGAGACCAGGAAAACTAGAATACAACCATAAATACCATACGAAAATACAGTGCAAAGTCGCTGTTTTAATCCAAAAACACGGTCAAAGTTTTTTTTTCTCATTACGCACTGTATGCTGCAGGATTTTTTTATACTGCGCACACTGACCACATAGACCCATTCTTTCATATGTAGGCCTACCAGCTTTCTCTCACTAGATTTGAGGGTGCTAGAATTTAGGCATACTAGTACGTCAAAAACCCTGGTGCGTAAGCCGTACTAGTATGGCCAAAACCGTGAAAGGGTTAAACAATACATAAAGAAAGCTACAGTGACATGAGGGTTTAGTAACAAAAATATGCATGAAACATGGAGCAAGCTAAACTAACAAGTTATAAGTAAATACAGTGGACCCTCAGATATCGGCTGTTCCGGATACTGGCCAAATCAGAATTTGGCCACTTTTTTGGCCGAAATTCTATCCTGGATTTTGGCCGACAACTTGGAGATCGACTGCATTGGACGCATAATAATAATCACTCTTGGGCACACTAAATGTCTTATTTTAGGTTAATTTAGACATTTTCATTAATCCATCTATGATATTTTCTTCAAAATTATATAAGAAACACATTACATAGCATATAAATATGCAATGTTTACATGTTATCGAGTGGTGAGTACTGGCGAATCAAGGAGGAGGAGGGAGGAGGGTGGAGGATAAACATTATGTTTTCTCTGACTCAGCGTTAGAGAAAACTGAGTCTGGCGTCTGGCCTAGTCACCGCCCTTCATATGCGTTTGTTTACAATTCTCGGCATGAGTTACTCATTACTTCTCCCTTTGTTTATGATGACATCTAATGGTAGTTGTAAAAAACGATTAAACCCAGTGAACATGGTATGTCGATGTAAAAATATGGCTGTGTAGTGTAATAATATGGCAGTGTAGTGTAGCCCAGGGGGCTACATACGTGTACCTACATCTACCGGCTACCTACACCTGACTTCCTACAAATAAATACTACTCACCTCTCGACCTACATTAAGACTACAAATATTTTAAGGTAAGTAATGAATGTACTATGGCAGTAAAAGGCAAAGAAAGGAAGTGTAACCCTAGAGAGGGCTTTGATACCTAAAGTCCTTATGGAGGGGGATTCCCAATTCCCTCTCCCTTCCTCGCCTTCTTCAATACGCCAACAAGAGTCTTCAATAAAGGTATGTAATATTCATTTATCATTAAAATTTGTGTTTTATATTTCTTTCTCATTGTTTTGTGTATGTAAAATTATAGTTAATCTTTAAAAAATGTATTTTTTGTTAATATTTTTGGGTGTCTCGAACAGATTAATTGCATTTACATTGATTCTTATCGGAAATATTATTTCACGTTGCAGTGGACCCCCGGCTATCAGCCATAATCCGTTCCAGGTCGACCAATAACCGAAATGGCTAAAAACCGAATTAATATTTTCCATAAGAATTAATGGGAATACAATTAATCCGTTCCAGACAAAAATATTCACAAAAAATTATTTTTTTTAACAATTATGTAAGTATTACATACCTTTATTGAAGGCTAATGCTGGCTTCTGGAAGATAGGGAAGAGGAAAGAGGGAGGAGTTAATGTTTGGAAGGGGAATCCCCCTCCATAGAGACTTTAGGTAGCAAAGCCTTCTCTGGGGTTACCTCCATTCTTTGTCATTTAATGCCACTAGGACCAGCTTGAGAGTCACTGGACCCCTGTCTCACAAAATAACTGTCCAGAGTGCTCTGTTTCTGGCATCTCTTTAAGATTTCCCTGAAATGGGACAGGGTTTTGTCACTCTACATGTTGCAGATATGGCTTGTTTCAGCTTTGTCCAGGTGGTGTTTCTCTACAAAAGCTTGCCTTACAACACTGTGTATGTTACTATGCTTCTTAAATCTATCAAACCATCCTTTGCTAGCCATAAATTCACAAATTGCAGCACCTGTTCCAGGCATTTTCTTTGCAAGATCCTCGTGCAACTGCCTTGCCGTCTCACAAATATGTAATAGACTCCACAGCACTGTCTCCCACTAATTCTTTTTCCTTAATCCACAATAATAATAACTTTTTCATCTCTTCCATTATTGGTGGCCTTTGTTTAGTTAGAAAAGAAACTCCTCTTGCAACATTAGCATCTTTGATTTGTTCTTTCTTTGCCAGGATGGATGTAATTGTTGATTTATTCTTGCTGTACATCCTGGCAAGTTCCACCACCCTCATACCACTCTCAAACATTTCTATCACTTCACACTTAAATTCCATGGTGTTTCTCACTTTCTTTACTACAAGAACTTTCTTTGGAGCCATGGTTACTTATTTCACAGTTGCAGCAAAAAAAAACCACTAAAAACAATGAAAAACAATCAAAATGTTTGGATGTATGAGCAGAAGCTTCCTCAGCCACCGAGAGACAAAGCCAAACTGACACGCAAGCGGCCCCAGCCGGCGGATGGACGCATCCCAAACAGCTGATAACCGAATTAACTGTTGATAATCGAGTTGGCCGATAACAGAACTGGCCGATAACTGGGGGTCCACTGTGATTCGGTTTTCGGCCATTTCGGATTTAGGCCGACCTTCTGGAATGGATTACGGCCTATAACCAAGGGGCCACTGTACATGTATGCAAAAGAGTTAACACTTATCACTACTTCAACATAATATACCTATGACAGACAACTAGGCGAGTACAAATAGGAAGCCCATCTGTCTCGTGTTCAACAGATGGAAAATCAAACCTTTACCATGTCTGGCACTGAATGCCCATGGGTTTAGCACTTAACATGATTTTTTTTTTTTACCTATGACAAACTTCAATTTGTGTTTCCTGGATGTTCATGAAGGGCTCTTGATCCAAGGAATTAGAACTGCCCTCCCCTTTCTTAGATCAAAACTGACTGTCTCCCATTTCCCAGGCACAGTATATACCTTATGGGTTTAATTCTCCCCCAATACTGTACGTATTTGCATTATTAAAAATATTCACAAAACAGTGCTCAAATATTAATTACAAACCATGCATAGTATTTCCATGCCACTGGATATCTACACAACAACCACTCTTCACAAAGAGGTTAGTCAGATACTACCATTCCCTAACTTTGCTTTCAGATACCCATTTTTATGATAGTCTGTGGTTCAATTCCCAGCCGAGTAGAAACATTGGGCATGTTTCCTTACACCTGCTGTCCCTGTTCACCTAGCAGTAAGTAGGTACCAGTGTGACTTTGTAAATGGTCCAAGTCAGACCAAAACAGCTTCGTAAGCTTCTCTCTCCTATGTATGGGATATTTGTGTATTGACCTGGGTGTTAGTTGACTGGTGAGAGTTGCATCCTGGGGGACAAGACTGAAGGACCCTAATGGAAATAAAACAGGAAGTCCTCAATGGCACCCTGACTTTCTTGGGTTATCCTGGGTGGCTAGCCATCCTGGTTAAAAATCCGAACAAACCTCATCTTACAGTCAAATCACTATTAACTAAGACTTGGACACAACAGATTTGGTGAAGTATGTAACCTGGCTTCTGCCACTGGAATGATCCAGGGTGGAAGTGTGTTAATGCTGGGTGTACCATCATAACCATCAGAAAAAAAAATTTTCATATTTCACAAAGTTTTGAGTTATGGTAACTTGGTCACCTGCTGCCCATACACAGTACCAAGCCATGGGATCAACCATTCTCGATAGCTTTACTTTGGAATAGAGATGGACAGCAGACTGGCAGGTAACTTGTCTATTTCAAGATTATAGGACATAATCAAGGTTCCATAAGGTCTTCTTATATCTTTGATATACCTTTGATGAGTTCCGAGAGTTTTTCTACTTCCGGAACCCGGCTACAGGCCAGGCTCGTCTGATGCTGACTACTGACTGACACACAAATAGTACATACTATGCTTACTTTACATATACATCTAAATTTTTATAGCCAGCATGCATAGCACTACTCCAGAGATCATTTAATGTAATATAGCACAACTAAGTAGTTACTGAAATGGTGAGGATGACTGAATAAGACTAATAATACAAATTCAATTACAATAATATATAGCTCATTATTCACTCAACATCATATTGTTGTACACTACTAAAACCTGGACCCACTTAAAAATAAACGAGTTCCCAATATCAGCAAAGCTTTTCAAATACATTTATTGTGCTTATATTATTTAGTACATTTTCTATACTTCTTCAAGATAACTACAACACATAAAACGTCAAACGCAAGTACCATTAGAGTACTTTATACAACGCTTTCTTTAATATCGTACATTATTTCCAGAAAAGAAAGAAACAACTTTTTTTTTTTTTGGCTTTTTTGCCTTGGCTTTTATTTGTGTGGGAGGGGGACAAATTAACCAGACTGTGATGGATATATGGACCAGGGGACTGCCAACAGCAACAGCCTGGTTGACCAAAAGTTCAAGAGAAAAGCCTAGTTGACCAAAGGAGCAACAGAGAAGCCTGGTCCCAGACCAGGCTGTGGGAGTAGGAAGACTCTTGAAACAGGTCACAGGTACTGTACATCACATGATGCTCTTTAATAAGGGTTTTAAATTATTGCTGAATTCTCTGATGTGCAAAGGTCATGAAAGTCACTGAGAAAAAGACGAAAAAAAAAAATGTTTAAGAAATGATACAATTAAACATGAAATAGCAACATTTTGTACATTTTACATACTACAAGTATACTGCACTGGATTTAATAAAAGAAAAAGCTTTCACAGTAGCTCCATTCACATATTCTGCAAGGCCATAGTGAAGGGGGTTAAAAAATATTACTGTTCTAATTAAAACATTTAGGGTCTGCTATAGACAATAATTTTTTAAATCACACTAAGTACAGATGAGAGAAAACAAAGAGTAACATAAAGTATACAGTATAAGAAATACAAAATGAATACAGGTAGTGTAGAGAAAGAGTTGGGTACTTACCCTGAGTAGGGCCCGGAAATATGGAGAGCACGCTGAAAGCACCATTTTATGGGCTGAGTAGGAGTGACCATCACAGGCAACAGTAACATCAACAAAATCTTCCTCATCCCGTAGCGACTGGAACGCCGTAACAATCTTGACTGTATAGTCATTCCAGCGAAGTGAATAGTGCTGTTCTGACCCCATGGTGTTGTAGATGTCCGTGGCTGTGGTGTTGTGTTGTAGCTGCTTCTAAGTGGGCCACCACCACCACCTTCATCTACCTCCCCTCCTCCTCCCCCTCCCCACCACCACCCCCTGATGATGCTGCTCCACCTACTGCCACCTGCTGCTGCCGGGCCGCCCGTCCTGCTGCTGGGACGCTGCCTACTTGGCACCACCACCCACACACCTATCAAATAGGTACATCAAATCAAAATGTAGAAAAAGCCATGCAAATTTACTTAAGAGCAATACAAAATGTAGTCTAAATTGATGCTTGACTGAGGATGCATTAATCAAAACTGCAAACAGGATTTTTCCATGCTCAACAATTCTACAATTAACATTTTCATTACAGAATACTTAAATGTAATTCTGTATATAGAAGCCTCACTTTTCCCAGTGACCTGTAAAAATCATACCCCATATTTTCTAAGTGATCTTAATTAAATTTAGCCTGAACATAACATGTTTTCATCTCTAATTTGTGGGTTAGTTGTAAACTGTTCCTCAACTTTGTTATATTACATCAAAAAACTTAAGTTATCAGATATGATGCTAACACTGAAGCAGGCTGTGCCTTTGAGCTACAGTATAGTATATCAAATGGGGTTGTGAGGGTAGAATTTATTTTAATCAGGGGAAAATTGCCAAACTCATAGGGGTTATAATAGTGCCTGGGTAATGGTAGATATTCAGGATTGCTCTAAGGAACCCAGTAACCCAATGCCCACATAGGCACTTCACATCAGACACTGGCAGTGCTCCTCACAAATTAGCAGGAATTCTAACCAAGCATTTATTGAAACTGATGGGGAAGATTAGCAACATACATTTAAAATATCTGGGTTACTTCCTCAACTGTGTTAAACACATCAATATGAGAAACAAGAAATTGGGAAATCTGGATGTTACTTCTTAATTTACAATGAAACCAATATTGAACTTCTTAGTAGGAAGGTCAGCAGTGAATTCATCTTCCTGTCTCTGTGTTCACCTTGTATCAATTTCAGGGGTCACTGCCCCAGCAGCCCCGTCCCAGACATACCAGCGATTTTGTTAATCTTGTCGAATTGTTTGTGAATTTTTATGGTTTTTCTTATGGTAATTATATGTAAGGCAAAGTTTTGGCATGGCAATGGTGTCCCCTTTTTAATGCCGTACTAGCTAATCTGTACAAGAAGTATCTGAAGAGGAAGAAATTCACACCCCACATTCTCAACAATGTACGTAGCAGTGGTATGTAAATGAGATCAATCTCATAGTGCCTAGGAATTCAGCATCAGTGAACCACAACAGAGACAACTCATTTAAGCCTTCCATTAAATTTACCCTTGAAGTAGAATGTAAAGACAAACTTTCCTTCCTCAGTGTGCACTATTTGTGTTTAGCGATAGGCTGTTTTTCAGAGTGTACCAGAAACTAACTAATAATGAGAATTTAACGCAGCTCCACTCTTACTATGACAAGACAAAAGCAGAGTTGTCACTGGGTTCTAACTGAGGGCTTACAGGTTTAGCCCTGTATACCTTGAGAAATGTAACTACATTTACTGAGTCATCTCTAAACCTCATATCATCGACTGTAGCTGTCATGTACAGAAAAATACCCCAAAGCATGACAAATTTTGTGAAAGATTTGTCATCCATCCCAACAGTATGGTGGTAATATTTCCAGGGCTTTCTCTAAATATAATTATAGATAGCTACTACTACCAGCACAACCATTAGAAACTAAACAGCAACAAACCCAAAAGCCTGATTGAAACCAAGGCTAAATATATGTCATACCATGGTGGGGATGCGAGAAAACAAATGTGGGAGAGACAGGAAGAGACAAACACATAGATGCCAATAAGAATGAATATGCCTGCCATACTGGCAGTGTTAATTAGTAATAATTGTGAAATTACCGACAAAACGTTAGATAAAAGGACACAGATGCAAAGCTCTCCAAGAGCTTTGTCAAGCTGTTATGACTTGACAAAGCTCCTAGTGAGCGAAATGTTGCCACAGTGTCACATTAGTTGCATCTGTGTCCTCTACCTAACACAGTGTTAATAATCAAACCGTACCACGGGTGGGGATAGAACCCGCGATCAGAGAGTCTCAAAACTCCAGACCGTCGCGTTAGCCACTGGACCAGCTAGCCACGAATCTTACTGTGGCTAGCTGGTCCAGTGGCTAACGCGACGGTCTGGAGTTTTGAGACTCTGATCGCGGGTTCTATCCCTGCCCATGGTATGGTTTGTTTGTAATCATGTCATTACGATTTCGTGAGCAATGTTAATAATGTTTGTGTTATTCACAGGAATATCCACCTGGTAACATGCAATGATGCAATACATATCATCACTGAAGATGATTTAAATAAATGCCATTGGTTAGAATATATAGTTATTTGTCTTATAAACACAGTAGAACATAACACAGTGAATTTCAATATCTCCAGAGTTTTGGCTAAATTAAATTTTAGGTTCTAAGGACAGTCATCAGGTATACTTTTACCTTTATACCTTTGATGAATTCTAAGAGCTTTTCTACTCCCAGAGCCTGACCATGGGCCAGGCTTGTCTTGTGCTTGCCTGGTCAATCAGGCTGTTGCTGCTGGTGGCCTGCCAACCCATATATCCATCAAAGCCTGGTTGATCTGGTATTTATCATTTTGTGTGCTCTGCTTATACTATCTCCATAATAAAGATATCTAATGTTGCATAAGTGTCTCTTTCATACATTGGTAGGGATTATATGCCTTGTTTGTAACATGTCTAAACATCATTAGCAAGGTCTCATTTAGATCATGCAGTGCAGTTTTGGTCTCCATTCTACAGAATGAATATAAAGGTACTATAGAGCATACACAAAAGAATGACAATATCCATACAAAGAGATATCGAGAGCCCTGAATCTATACTCTCGTGGAAGACAGGCATGATATCAAACTCCAGAAAAACTCAATATATTGGATTAAAGTTGGATCGATGCAGATTTAGAAAGAATACAGGAAAATAATGGTTTGGCAACAGAGTTGTGGATGAGTGGAACAAGCTGCCAATAAGTCATCTAAGCTAACAGCTTGGGCAGCTTTAACAAAAGATTGAACAAATACGAGTGAGAAGGTTGGGATTTAGTACCGGCTTCTCGACTGCAAGAGGGCAGTAGACCTCTCTTCTTATGGTAATGACGCAGGGAGGAGCACATTGACGTTGGGAGGACAGTTACGATGCAAGAAGGATGATGACGCAGGCAAGAAGGTAATGATGCAGGAAGGATGGTGATGAGGCAGGCAAGATGATGACGCAGGCAAGATGATGACGCAGGCAGGATGACGACGCAGGCAGGATGATGACAGGTAAGACGGGCTGGAGTTTTGAGACTCTATGACCGCGGGTTCAATCCCGGCCGGGGGTATGGTTTAAGATGATGACGCAGGCACGATGGTGATAACGCAGGCACGATGGTGATACGCACGCAGGATACCGATGACGCAGGATGGTGAACCACGTATCAACAAGGGCGTATATCTACCTGGATATATACGCCCAAGTAAAGTTACATGTCAGCGAATATACTCCCAGAGTTGTGTTATTTCCCATTCCATACATGCTGAGCATTGACTTTAATCCCTCTTTTAGTAATTAGAACTTTGTAAATGTTAATATCCAGGTGGAGTGTGATATTAACCATCGTTCATTCCATACGGTTTTTAAACTTCATAAACATCCCTTTCAAAAAGACCATAGTGCATTTAATAGGTTTTTAAACGAAATAAATAAAAGCCAGATAACCGAGTTAAGTAGTATATTATTACCTCTAGATTGTTTGCACATACGCGTATATACAGAGATATTATACACAATGGTACACACTTCTCGGTGTATATACACTTATGTATACACACCACACGGTGTGTACTGAAAGGTACACACCTGTATGCAGATATACTGAGATAAGCGCCTCTCAATATATATACATTGATATACACCTGTGTGTGCGCAGGTACCACACCTCTTTGTTTTTGTGTGTGTACACACACACACACACACCCACACCACCACACACACACTACACACACACATTAACCCACACACACACACACACACACACACAACCACACACACACACACACACACACCACAAACACAACCAAGATAAACTGACTGCGCATATGGGCGCTAGCAAACCTCAGAACAGCATTCCGGAAACATCTTAATTAAGGATCGTTCAGGACCCTAGATACACCGATACGTTAGAGACCCATATTGGAGTATGCGCACCGTTTGTGTACCACACCTAGCCAGCACCGTAAAGAAACTAAGAGAAGTGCAAAGGTATTGCAACAAGACTAGTCCCAGAGCTAGAGGTATGTCCTACGAGGAGAGGTTAAAGGGGAATCAACCTGTCGACACTGGAGGGACAGGAGAGATAGGGGGGAATGATAACGACATACAAAATACTGAGAGGAATTGAAAAAGGTGGAAAAAAACAGGATTTTCCCGAGATTGGACACGTAACAAGGGGACACATTTGGAAGCAAAGACAAAAAAGAATCAAGGGATGTTGGGAAAGTATTTCTTCCCACGGTAGTGTAAGTGGAATAGTTGGGGGTTTTGGGGGGAAAGGCCCAAATGAAAGCAGAGGTACGATAAAGTCACGGCTCAGGGGGAGTGACCCAGTGCGATCATGAAGGCGGGGCCGGGGCTCGGACTCGACCCCCCCAAAACCTCAACTAGGTGAGACAATAGGGGATACAACAATAAATATTATTTTTATTATTATATATTATAATATATTATATATATTATATAAAATTTTAAATAAAAATATAATATATATATATATTATATATAACCGAAAAATTTAACCTTTTGATGTACAAATCAAAAGGGCCCTTTTGTTGTTATACATCAAATCAGTTCAGCCCTCACTGCGGTGACAACCTACTGAGCTCTGGGTTCCCCCGAACTTCACCTTGGGGTGTATCGTACTGAACGCCCTGCTGCCTACCTTCTCTTTTACACAATTTGTTGCCATACCCCCTTCTCTTCCTTTAATACAAATTTTCTGCCAACCCCTTCTCTTCCTTAATACAATTTGCTGCCTTTTACCCTTCCTTCCTTAACAAAATTTGGGTTTCCAAACCCTTCTTTTCCCCTCTATAAAATTTCCCCTATGAATGTTGGTAAACGCG